TTGTCAATCTAGCTTTTGTAAACGATGTAATAAAAAGCATCATACCTCGCTACACAATGATTTAAAGTTAAACAATATGACAAACACGACCCTTTCTTTTAACACAGTTCAATCGTCTAAAAATCCTTCTACGTCTGTTGCTAATGTTTGACTAAAAAAAAAGGGTTAAGCGCAGCTATAAACAATGTGCATTCTCAGCTTATGGCAACAGCCAGCGTTTACGTTTCAAATGCGCAGAGAAAGTTTATACACACTCGTGCTTTGCTTGATACGTGCTCTACCGTACATTTGATTTCGTCCCGTTTAGCCAATTCATTAGGCTTGTCCTTTGAAAATTGATCTGTTACAATCGGAGCAATAAACGAGTTAGGTACAAAATGTGACCAAAGCGTCAGTATAAAAATTAAATCTATTTATAATAATTTTTCCAAAAAGCTTACTTGTTTCATTATTCCACGGATAGCAAGTTTGGTACCTTCAGAAAAGTTTCCACGTCATTTGATTGAATTATCAATTAATATTCAACTCGCTTATCCACAATTTTACATACCAAATGGTGTTGAATTGTTAATTGGTTCAGGAGCTACATTTTCGCTGTTTTCTGTAGGCCAAGTAAAACTTGCTACCGATCCATGTGACCTTTTTGCTCAGAAATCTTTATTAGGCTGGATCATCGCGGGAGGGCTTCGACGCAATTTTCTAAAAGATTTTTCATTTTGCAATTACACCATTTTGAAACTAAAGGTATGCGTAATGAACAATTTGAGGAGTTGACACAATTAATAACTAAATTTTGGAAAATAGAAGAAATACCACGTAAATAAGATATCAAGCGAGCAGAGGAATCGTCAATTGAAAATCATTACGTTCAAAATACTACCAGAGATCCCAATGAATGATATGTCGTTCGTTTGCCGTTTCGTGTAGATAAAATAGATCTTGGTAATTTAAAAATTACAGCGTTACGACAATTTTATTCGCTTGAACGGCGTTTAAACGCGAATCCTGAACTTTGAACCGAATATTTTCGAGTTATGCAAGATTATATAGATCAGGAGCATATGTCAATCATCTAAAACGAAAGCGAACAAGGTTATTTTATGACATAACATCCAGTGCTCAAGCCATCGAGTTCTACTACTAAAGTACGAGCTGTTTTTAACGCTTTTTGTAAAACCGATAAAGGAATTTCTCTTAATGATGTGCTTATGGTGGGTCCTACCATCGAAGATAAGCTTTTTAATCATTTATTGAGATTTTTGACTTACTCTTTCGTAATGACGGCAGACTTAGTGCAAATGTATTGTCAAGTTTTGGTGGATCCTCGGGATCGAAAGTATCAGCGTTTGTTTTGGTACGATAGTAAATATGAGAGCAGGTAATTCGTTTGCTAGACATCGCCGGTTTCAATATTAGAAAATGGGTTTAAAATGATCCATATTTTTGATAACACCGAAGAAAAGTTATTTTGTGAAGAACAAATTAAAGAGTCAATTTCCAATTCAAAGACACTCGGGATTATATGGAATTCAAGACGGGATGTGTTCGTTTTTTCAGTCCGGCCTATTCGCTACGTGCACAATTTTGAAGCAGCGCCACCGAGGGAAAAACGAGAGCCATTGGTCGGGCACAGCAGAAGGCAATATTCGCGATATGTGCTTGATACCTATAGGAACACAGCACCTCGATAGAAACACGAAAGTTTCTATGTTTATTATACCACGAATTAATAAAATGTCTCAAGTGGTACAATCCTACGTGAATAACTAAAGACAAAATTTGTACTACAAGCACTATAAGCGTTTGAGTATTAATACTTACTTCAACACAAGACCGTGTTACTGTGTGATACGTGATACGTTTTATTAGTTTGCAATATAGTCAACACAGACCTCCTCTGACCAATCAGAGAGCTCCATTAGCCCTATACCGGCGTGTTCACACAGTATGGACACACGTTCATACGATACGCTTAGAGGATCAGGCCCCAGCTAAAAACTCTAAGAAATACACAGTATACGACGTATTTCATTGCGTTTTTAAAATGAACATGCATGAGTAAAATATCTACATACTACTCATAATTTTATTAAAAATTTAACCCTTAGAATGGTTGTTGATGTATAAACACATAACTTTCTGATGATAGTAATGCTTAGTAGTCTGCTAGCAGAAGACAAACATATCGTTTAGTTTCACATATTAGCACAGGTACTACTGCGATCGCTTTTTCAGCATGTGCACGTAGTGAATAATCGCACAAAAAATAACTAAGCAACATATTCTCTTAGAAATCGCTAGAATTTTCGATACATTAGGTTTGATCGAACCGGTCGTTTTTGCAGCCAAGGTATTAATGCAAAAGTGTTGGCATGCGGAGATCGATTGGGATGAATCGGTGCCTGGCGAATTGTACACTTCTAGGACAAGGTTTACCAATCAAATCGGATTAATACAAGATTTCATGGTAGACCGCAAATGAGTGATTGATAAGTTTGTCCATGTAGATGTTATCGGTTTCTGTGATACTAGTCAATTGAGTTATGGTGCTTGTCTTTACATAAGATCAGTAGACGAGAATAGTAGGGTTTTGGTAAATCTTGCATGTTCTAAGTCACGTGTGAGACCTATGAAGGGATTATTTACCATATCTCGCTTAGAATTATGCAGCGCTTGACAGCTAGCTAGATTATTCAAAGAAAGTTATGAAATGTTTAAATTTTCCATTCAAAATAATATTTTTTGGTGTGATTCAACTATCGTACTTTACAAAGTTAAAAAAGCATTCCATGATTCAATCTAGAAGTTTTCGATGCAAATTGTGACGAGGATTTTTCAGCCGTAAGGGCCATCCTGATATCCCCTCACAAAACTCTCTCTTATACGTCACTCACCCTGTCCCTACACTTTGGACTTCTCTCCTCCCGGAGTTCTGTCACAGGTGTCTGACTCGAAAACACCAGACACTCCTAAAAGGAAATAAAAAGGGGACAAATGGGGACACTAAACTACACAAATTCCACACGAATCACGGGTTATACTTTTAGCAGCGCGTCTGCGCCTGTTATTCCAACTTCAACTACACTCTCAACACTCCCTCTCTCTCTCTCTCTCTCTCTCTCTTACGTTTATCAGTATAGGCACATAATCTGTGAGGTAGATATCTTCGTGTATCTCAGTAGCGATATGGGTCGTCCTCACTGTCGACCTCGTCCTTGGCTAGATCTCGGAGGCCCGCACCTATACCACACACACCCGAACACACACAATCTCCTACACATCTCGTACCTATTACTATATATCCACGCGCGTCTCACCACCTTAAGACTCCCGCCGACACCTCGACTAGTCCCCACGCAATCTATTCTACACTTACACACACGGACACACACGTCTCTCTGCTTTCTCTCTCTTTCTCCCTTCACACGCCTGCACACCCAGACTCCCTCATTTGAATCATCCTAACCACTATTCCAATGCACTATTCCACGTACCTTTACCTTTCCACAATCCTCGTTATCTCCCGTACTCGATGCCACCTCGAGCTCGTCCGGATCGTCGTGATGACTGCAGCACGGTTGGCTTCAACGACTCTCTCTCTCTCTCTCTCTCTCTCTCTCTCTCTCTCTCTCTCTCTGCTTCTATCCTTCCTGTTCTCGGTCTAGCCCTGTTTTCCTACCTTATTATTAATCGTAAGAAAACTCTCTCTCTCTGCTATTCTCGAACTATCTAGCCTATCACTTTTCTAGGTCTCCGACTCTGCTCCTTTCGCTATCCTCTCGATACTTGCTCGTGCCAGGCTCTCCACTGTTCTCTCTCTGGCTACCACTCAACTACTACTGCGTTACTCCCGTCCCCTTCGATCGAAGCGCGCGCCCCTCCCGGGTATCCGAAAAATCTTCAACACGTCTAAAAACTGGTAAATTGTTGGAGGTTTCGAAAACTCGGGAATCGACGCTACAGCCCGGCGCTCCCTCCTCTCCGACGCGTCGCGAGCCCTTCCATCTCTCCTTCTCTATCTTACACACCTGCTCACCCAATCATACCTCACACACATTCAATTTCTTTTCTGGTCTTCGGTCCTTCTCTCTCCTCTGGCTCGTAGTCCGCGGCACCGAGAACACATTAAGTAATGTGTTATAGATATACATATAGAAAATGTAAATGTTATTCTAGAACTCGGTAGCCGCCGAGGAGTTGCCCCGAAATATAGGTATACAGTGACGTGATAGCTTTAGCTACCACGTCACAAAATCGAATAGCGAACATTCAAACGCTTGGCAGTAAAGTAGAATGGCAACATGTACGATGTGCTGACAATCCCGCCGATGCTCTATCTCGCGGTCAAACTCCTGTGGAATTTTTACAAAATTTGACTTGGCTTTCGGGTCCCAATTGGCTAGCAAAGTCCGAATCACAGTGGCCTAAAAGCATCGTCATTACAACACCTATCTCTATTCCATGCGATAACTGCTTAGCTACTGTCATTAAAAATGATTTATTCTTAAGATTCTCTGATTTTAATCGTTTGACTAGATTTATAGCTCAAAGTCTACGATTTAAGGTTGCAAATCGGCATTTTCGTGGGAAAGATATCAGGGTGTAAGAAACGTTGAAAGCTAAAACGGTGATTTTACGACTCGTGCAAGCAGAGCGTTTTTCGTTAGAAATAAATCTCGTTAAACAAGGAAAAGAATCGCGTTTAAAGGCTTTTAATCCTTTTTTGGGAGGAAGATGGCATTTTAAAGGTCAGTGTCCGGCTTCGAAAATCTTCGGTCACCAGCGATTATAAATGCCCGATACTTTTGCCTTCCACGCATCATATTACTGATCTGATTAGACGTAAAATTCATATGTCAAATGGGCACCTAGGAATTCAATCCACTTTTAGTTTTATTAGACACAAATATTGGATTTTGGACGGGCAGAATCAAGTGCGCAAAATAGTTCGGCAATACGTGATTTGTCTTCGATATAAACCTAAATTAATTCATGCCAAAATGGGCGATTTACCAGAATCTCGAGTTAATCTAGCCCCAGCATTTAGCAAAGTTGGTACTGATTTTTTTGATCCAATACTCATTAAAGAAAAAAAGTTTCAAAATCGTAATAAAGTAAAGGCCTATGGTTGTGTTTTTATATGCATGAGCACAAAAGCGGTGCATCTTGAAATTATTAATGATCTCACTACTGAGGGTTTTCTCGGAGGTTTTAGGCGTTTTATCACCCGTCGAGGAATTCCAGGGCACGTATTTTCCGATAACGGTTCTAATTATATCGGAACAAAAAATAATTTGAAAGAATTATACAGTTTTCTGAATTCCAGAGATTTTCAATGTGACTTAAACGAATACGCCGTGCAAAAAATATCGTTTGACATTTTTTTTTTCCACCTTTATCCCCGCATTTTGTCGGTCTCTGAGAAGCTACAGATAAACTTTTTAAACATCATTTGAACAGAGTCGTCAGTAAAAAAACTGCTTACTTTTGAGGAATGCAGTACATTAGCTACTGAAGTCAAAGGTATTTTTAATTCATGGCCTATTTGTTCTTTCTCATCCGATCCAAACGATCCACAAGTTCTCACTCCAGCACATTAATTAATAGGCAGGCCTATTACTCTTCTGCCTGTTTATGATTTTGTTGGCATTCCAGAAAATCGTTTGTCCTCTTGGAATTGTATTTTTAGAGCAAGAGATGATTTTTGGAAGCGATGGTATTTCGAGTACTCAAATGTGCTCCAAAAAAGACAGAAGTGGCAGGGAGAGAAGGGAGAGATCAAATTAAATTCAGCTGTATTTCTAATGGAAAAAAAGATCGCCTGTGCTGATTGGAGGCTGGGCGTAGTTGCTGAGATTCACCCTAGAGATGATGGTGTTGTGCGTGTGGCTTCAATAAAAACAGAGAACGGAATTCACAAGAAAAATATTACAGATTTTTGTCCATTGCTGGACAAAGAAGTTACTGAATCTTAATAGAATTTTTCATGAGTTTTTTTTTGTCACGTACGATATCAGAATCTTACGCAATATTTTGCATTAAGTGTGAATTTTTTGTCTTAATTGTTCAAATATTTTTGTTTACAAGCATTAAAATTTCAATACCAATTTTGTAATAAGCTTACAGTTTTGAAATAATCTCTTTTTCTTATATTAATCATGTTTAAAATTCTTTTGTATGATGATAATTGTAAAGCAAACAATTAAGTTTTTTGTTGTTGAAATAAATATAGATAACAATTGGTTTACATTATAATCACACTTGATTACACATTACAATCTCACCTTCATAAAATCATCTTTGAGGTACAATACTTCCTTATATTTCGCGACTGTAGGGGAGTATGTTTTGTGGATTAGTAGAAACAGTTGAGTATGTCAGACGCGTTAATTTTGTTTTAAGCTATACTCAGACTGTTGAAAAAAAGGTATGTGGTTATAACCACATGGTCTTATAAACGTTACTTACTTACTTACTAACAAAAAACGCACTTGACTGATCGTCAGATTTGTGCACTTCTTGCGCAAGGATTTTGTGCACTCGCCTACACGCTAATCTTGCGCAAATCTGCTGCAAGCGGAACTGCCTCAAGTCAGAATGATAACGCACTTGACTGACCATCAGATTTGCGCACTTCTTACGCAAGAGTCTTGC